GCTGATCACGCAGGAATTCCACACGGGTTAACGAGGGGGCGTGGCACACGGAAGGAGCGGACGATCGGGGCAAGACACATTTATTTTCTTACTTCACAAATTACTGTTTTGATAAATGTGCTTAGATGTGTTTAGTACAGTATATGCTCTTCTTGTTTTATCCGGTTCATTTTGTGTTTAAATGCTAAAAAAAAAAAAATCATATTTAGGTGTAATTTTTTGGGGCCGGAAACCAATTAATTGGTTTTCCATTATTTCTTATGGGGAAAATTCGATCAGAACTAAAACTTTTTAGGATTCGATCCGTAGTTCTGAACGGATTAAATTCGAGTTCTGAGGTACCACTGTATATTTGTTTTGGCATTAAACTCATCTTAATCTTAGTGTACTTTGTAAATATGTCAGATTTATGTGTTTTTTAATTTGACATTAAAGTATAGACATTGCAAAATGCAATTTGGATGCTCTCATGTGTATGCATGAGTCATTCACACCTTATATAAGGGATAATACAATAGATATGTGTTCCACCAGGATACTGTGGCTAAGAATCAAATCAAGGGTATGGTTACAGGCATGAGTAGGCCTGACTACATTCTGACATACACCTAAAGAGTCTTGAATAGCAGCAAATGTTGTTGTTAAAGGAGCACTATCATTCTCCATGTGAATATTAAAATCGCCAAAAATCATTGCTTTTTCAGTAGTGACCACCAGGCTTGTTAATAAATAGTGTACTTAGTGAAAAGTACTGTACGTACCAGGCAGTCTATATAGAGTAACAATGGTAACTGGTGGTGAAGAACTACAAAGAGATGAGCCAGCAAGACTAAGAACAAGAATTTCAAATGTGCTAAAGCTATAATCACTTTTCTCAGACACTCCTAGGTTCGACTGAAATATTGCGGCAACACCACCACCTTTGCCATTTGGTTGAGGGTTATGCTTATAACTGTAATCAGCTGGAGTAGATTCATTTAGTGCCATGAATTCATTCAGTTTAAGCCTGGTCTCTGTAAGGCAATAGGGACCAAGACTAAAATCAGTAACAATTTAATTTATTAGTAGCACGTTAGGAGCCAATGATCTTACATTCAAAAGTCCAAGTTTTAGCCTTGCATTACACCTATTATTTAATAACAGATTTGCTTTAATTATTATTAAGTTATTACGGCTTACAGTGGAATAGACCTCCATGATTAAAAGTGCGGGGAACAGACACAGTCCCAATAGGTGTTCATTTCATATTTGACCTTTCAAATATGGGTACGCTTTTACTTGAATTATTTTGGAATTAAAATGCTGATTTTTTTATAGGCTTTATTATATTTAGTACACAACATTAGTAGTGAAATCGCGGAATTACTTGTGACGGAATGATCTTTTGGGAATCTGTTCCCACACATCGGATGTTCTTTGAGACAACGCTTTTTTTTTTTAATTAAACACCTTTACTTCGTCTTCAACAAAATACAATATACAATATCCAAGCAGGGGGACAGCACAGGTATATCAAAACAGGCACTTTTGGTCTTAACCTTCTTTAAAGAATTAAGAAATAAAACTAAATCATTTTTAAAAGCTACAAAGTTGGCGAGGACGTTCATATATCTACATTTATATAAATAAAAATTTGCAATTAAAATAATATTGTTGAACAAAAATTCAGTATCCTTCTCTTCAAGGATAACTCCAAACTTAATGGTGAGATACTCTAAGTGTGGTATTACATATTGTGAAGATAAACAATTAAACAGAGTAGACTAAATAAATAAATGTTCCTGGGATTCACTCTCACTATCACAGAATGAACATAAAGTCATCTAAATTAAATCTAATTTTTCAAAATTATTTACATGGGTAAATGTCATTAATCATTTTAAAGTGAACTTCTTTCATTTTGGGCAACAGAGGAAAGGACAAATATATAGATCTAACTTTGATAGTTTCAGTCTGCCGCAAAATCAGTCTACAAAAATTTTGTAGATAATACTCTTAAAACATTCTTTTGTCATTGCAGATTTTAATAGTCTATTATTACATTTGCTATCTAAAAAAATATAATTAATAATTAATAACAATTAAAACAATAACAATTAATAAATTAGCATATACAGGTATTACTAATGAATACTGTAAAACATCTTTAAATAAGTTCTTCACAGCTAAGGGAATAGCTTTAACTACTAAGGAGTATTGTTTAAAAGAACAAACCAAATTAAATTTTGATTTAAACTCTGTGTAATGACCACTGTCCGGCGACCAGGCAGGAAGCGGGGAAATACAAGGCAGGCAGACGAGAATCCAAAAGCAAAAGGGTTTTATTATAAGGGAAACGAACAACACGGCAACGAACATCAATGACGGATCTGGGGAAACTAACTCAGACGCGGACTAAATACACAGGACAGGCTGAACATAACAGACAACAGGTCATTACAATCGGGAAGTAACACGAGGTAATGAGGGGGGCGTGGCACACAGGAGGATCGGACGAGCAGGTCATGACACTCTGTATGAGATATCAATTAACCCTGTATGAGCCAATAATAGTATAGCGATTTCAAAAGAAGACAATGTGTAGCAAGCCATTTCCTTCCTTATCCATGAAATGGACAATAGCCCAGACACCTTTCTCCATCCAATCTTTATAAAATAGGGATTTACCCTTACGTAAAATGTATCTATTATTGCATATAATAGCTGTGTGTGGGGTGAAGTTGTGTTTGTAGAGCATTTTCCAGTACAGTAAGTAATTCCGTTTTTATTGATTCATACATTTTGTTTTCATTACGTTTCACATATAATGTATCTATAGCCAGGGTCCAAGTGCAGTATTAGATTGTTAATACAAACATTATGCTTGGATCAGTAGAAATACTGTTCACTTTTTCGTGAGTAAAAACGTGTACATGAAATAGAAATCTTATTTATTTATTTTTATTAACAGATAATAAGAATGCGATTTTACATGTTTCAGAATGAAAGATGAACAGTTATCATAGAGACGTAAATTGTTATACAAACTATGGATACTGCAAACCCTGAGTTAATTTCGCACACATGCAGCCAAGTTTTAAAGCAGCGTGAAAATCACGCGGATGCTTTCCAGGCAAGAGTGTATTCAAACTACACATGCACATGGTAAGTCGAAAATGGATGACACTCAAACACACACACACACACACACACACACACACACACACACACACACACACACACACACACACACACACACATATATATATAAAACTAACCTTGTTTCTTCTTCGAAAAGCAGAGACTCGAAAGCAGCAGATATTTATGGTCGTGTGTTAAGTAGCGAACGAGCACGCGCTGTTAACTCGGGTAGGACATTTTCATGGGTAGGAAAGAATTTCAGAACACCGCATGTCTGTGCTGCTTATGGATGTTTTAATGAAAGAAACGATAAAACTAAATGGGGAATAACATATTTCACTTAATGTTAATTAGTACATAATACACTGTATACATTTAAAATGAAGTAAATTTTTTTTAAAAAATTACATCAAGTTATAGCCATTTAGTAGGCCTACTACTTACTATCTATATTAGATCGTAAGTATGAAAACCTATATTTTAATTTTTACCAAGTGTTCTATATCACGAATACATTTATGACATAACAAACCAAACCGTTTGAAAATCGGTTTAAAATTTTGTGATTTATGGTAATTTTAATTGTACAATTTAATTCTATAGACGGACATGCATTAATTAATGAGTAGCTATACCCCGTATCGATATGGTGGTTGTATAACTATTTACGCATTGCTCCAATGAACAGCAGTGACCAAGCGGCTTCTATGTGTTTGATATCTAATCTATGGTGCAGCTAGGCTAGCTTCCATTGGATGCCCAGTTAGAACTGTAAGCACTTAATAGCTATACATACAACACATTTTAAGCAAACCTGATTAAACAACTGTTCAAATCGGTAGACAACACCTGAACCAACCGTTTTTTATCTCGATTAGTTTAATTCTGTATAGAGCGATTCCTTTAGGTCCGACTAATTGCAATGATTTACCGCATTTCCATCGGAAGCGATGTCCGTAGTAATGGGCGCTAAAGTGTTGCATTGCATTGGTCGCCTGGTGGCGCCGATTCACTGTGGTTCGACTCGCTTGCTCCCGGAGCGATCGCAATGATGGCGGTAGCGGCCGGGGGAAAGGCCGCCGCTAGATGCTTAGAAGAATCTTCTGATAGCGAACTGGAGCAAGAACCCGGCTCCCCGCAAAAACTGATCCGCAAAGTGTCCACGTCGGGCCAAATCCGAAACAAGGTAACCTGTAAATGCATTGCATTACTTCCCGTTTGGATAGTCAAAAGTACTGCATGAGAGCAGACCGGCCAGCTAGGCCAGTTTGGGCCTTTTTACTTTGTTATAAAGGGTCAGCTCGCTTAGCTTTAATAAACTAGCTCACAATTAATAGCTTTTACGAGAGATCAGCATTTGCGGTTAGTTAAATTGCGTAACCGTTTATGTATATTTTAGCATGTATTTGGCTATGTTTTGAAGCTTGTAACTTTGTTGTTGTTTCTTAATTTGTGAGTCCGCTAGCAAGCTGGTTAACTTTTTAATGGAGTAAATGTAAATCTTATCTGCAAGTTTTGTCTAGTCGCCAATAATAGTATAGCGATTTCAAAAGAAGACAATGTGTAGCAAGCCATATCGAGCTTTAAGTTTCAGTACTTGGTATTATAACGGTTGTATATATTTTTTAAGAATTAGAAATGAACAAAAATGTTTTTTTTGTGTATCATTTTTTCACAGCCGCGGAAAACTTTGCTTTTGTGTATATAAATCCTATATTAGTTCGTCAGATTATAAGAGTTCAGTGATGTGGTGCTTCATAAGTTTTGATAAGAATTTTATAAAGTCAGTATTCATTCGTTAAACGCAGAATACATGATTTGGTTTTCTTGTTTTTGTATTTCAACCACGTCATTGTGTTTACAATGTATGTCATTATCTTGATAAGAAAATATTTTAATAAATAAGCAACTACATATAGTTAAGTGTGTATTAGGACCGTTGATACGAAGCTGTACCTTTTAAATCCGTTTTTAAAATACATTAATTTAAAGGAGGCGTTTTCAACGGGAGGACAACTTGACGGAATGTCTGTAAGGTTGAAAACCTTTTTAATTAAATTGATATGATTAAAAATTAAACCCATGATCTGATGTTGCCAGTGTCGTTACAATATTATTGTCATTGAATTTCAGTACGGTTAGAGCTGGAAAAACAACGGTCTGACCTGCTGCAGTTTCTGTTGATGTCATTTGATGCATAGTTTTTACTTTCAGGATCCCTCCGTAGTAGTTAATAGCATATGTTCATATGAGGAAACATTCCTTCATTATTTTGCATTACAGACGATCCTGAAGGAGGGTAAGTTGATGAAACAAACCAACTCCTTCCAACGCTGGAAAAGACGCTATTTCAAACTTCGCGGAAGAACATTGTATTATGCTCAAACCGCTAAGGTGTGTTTGCACATTTTTTTTTCATTTCTATTTTCATTCTGAATGCTTTATGTAATGGAGAAGTTGTCATAAGTAGTCTGGTAGAGATGCTGTAATTCATGAAAATGAAGCTGGTAAACTGGAAAGGATCAGTGGTAAAATACAGAGCCACAAATGCTGACAAATTGAGTTTGCATATTTTATCTCTTCTTCCTCCATTGATTCCTGTGCATTTTGATTTGATGATAATAATGATAATTAATAATGATTATTTCTTGTTTCAGTCCATCATATTTGATGAAGTTGACTTGACAGACGCAAGTGTTGCTGAATCAAGCACCAAAAATGTTAACAATAGTTTTACGGTAAGACCTTTCTCTTATGCTCCTTCTCTGATTTTGGTCAAATGCTGTAAGTTTGTTCAAAATTTGTGTACAAAATTTCAGATCTCTATTGTTATGTTTTCTCCATGGACGCGCAGGTGTTTTTAGGCTTTTCTTTAAGCATCTTGTATTTACGAGGCTGTTTTAAAACTACAGTATCTAGAAAAATGCTTGATCTGGGTCCTGCACATTTAATAGGCTGAATATCTGGTACTATGACCCACTCTATGTTTTTTCTGGAGTGTAGCTCATGCTTAATATAGATTGCTGGGTTCTTAAATTTACTAAAAAGTGATTGTGTAGCCCCTGCCAACAGTTTTGAAGACTTGTAGGAATCATCTTATTATCTCTGTAGCTAACCAAAATATTTTTGAAAACACTGGTTTTTACTAGCATTGGAACATACATTTGGAGGCCACTGTACAGTAATAGCAGTATTTTAACCATTTTTTTTTTGGGAAACTGAGGGAGAACACCACCAGAAGTTTTGTAAATAATATTAACATGAAATTTTCTCTTCCCACAAAAATCTGTTTGGATTTGGTAGTTTGTGTCATACCCGGGGAATATCACACTTAAATTGGATGAGTTTTTTTTTTTTTCTTCCTTTTTCATTTTCAAGCTTTACTATCTCTGAAATCATTCATCTGATTTGGACTGTTTCAAACAATATATTGCATCTTGTATCGTATCAATTAATTGATGTTTTCGCAGTATTCACAAATGTTTGTATATGTATGTTTGTCGAGCTCTGTCAAAACAGTTGAAACTAGAGGTCAACCGATATGGGTTTTTTAGTAGCCGATGCCGATATTTAGGAATCAGGGGCCGGTTACACAAGACACCTTAAGTATGACACTTAAGGTTTAATTTCTCCTTAGCTATGGGATTTATTTAAGGGTGTTGCACAGAACCCCTTAAAAGGTTTCCTTAGTTAAGGAAAAACATTAAGGGATTTACAACATTGAAATACGTTTTACAGCAGTAAAATTGTCCCGTTTCCATGGAGACAGTTCATATGCTCGCACTCGCACCTGCTTGTGATACCTGTTATCGCCTCACAAAGTTACTGACAAAGTAAAAAAAAAATGGGAGAAAAGAAGACAAGAAAGTCAAATTGGTCAGAGGAGGAAAAGATTATACTTTTGGAGGAATACAATAAAAGAAAGAACATATTAAAAAGTAAATTTGATCCGCAAATAACAGCAAACAGAAATCAACGAATGTGGGAGGAAATTGCAATGAAAATTAATTCAAGAAGTCTACATTGTGCTACAACATTAGTTATTTTATGTTCATGATTGGAAACTAACTGAACATTGATTGAATATAGATTTTTTTTCCTGTTAAATTGATCTTCATATTGTATGGGAGCTTGAATCCTGATGTGGGTCCCAGCTATCACCCCGCACACTCTTGGGAAGCCGGCTACATTAAAGAAGTGTGTTGCTGTTTCATCCTATTCTTGTTTAGAGGGGAATTTCACCACGGTGTTCAATAGACGGGCAATGGTGTTTGAAATTCAGTGAATGACACAGCACACCGTTGACTTGTGGACATGAGATACATCGCCTATTACTGCCCGGAACAAGCCCATAGCATAAAACCGCAGAGCAACGCAGCTGGGAGAGCACAGCTTCGGATTGTGGAGTGATCCAACTGTAGACGATTGGACAAATCATAAATCGACTGTCGGTCAAATTTATAAAGCAAAATCAAATCGTATCTAAGAGTTCTCCCGGTCGCAGAAAACTCTTTTTGGGATGTGTTCATTTTAGTTATTTATTATAATGAACTCGGCCATGTTGCAGTTAAGGTACGGTTAGAGGTACCTTAATTTTTTTCCCTTAGTTTGGTTGCTGAGGTCTTTTGTGCAACCGTTAAGGGATTCCTTAAGTATAAGACCAAGATAAGGAGAAAAACTTAAATACTTAAGAGAAAATTTTAAGGAAACCTTAAGGAGAAGACTTAAGGGTGTTTTGTGCAACCGACTTTATTTTAAGGAGACCTTAACTCGGACTTTAAGGAAAATCTTAACTTAAGGTGTTTTGTGCAACCGGCCACAGGGTCTGCCGATGGCCGATATATGCTGCCAATTTTTTCTGCCCGATAATTGGATGTTTTCCCCTCTATCTGCATGGCAAAATATCTCACTAATAATAACAAACGATACACAAAATTTCTTAACTTAGCGTTTATTGAATACTGACTTGTGTAAATTTAAAATATAAAAACAGAAACACAATACAACTTGTAAACAATAACTTGGCTTGGTGAAATGCTGCCTTATAGGATTAGATTTGTCAGCCATCAGACGGCAATTACTAAAACATTAGAAAAAATGCAAGGTTAGCATTTTTATTATAGTACCTTCATCTTCAATTCATTCTACAATTCCGGTATTCCATGCACATTAAAACAATTACACTGTAATACATTTTGAAAGAAAAAAAACACTAGCAACCTAGTGCATCATGGTATGATGAGTAGTGTACAAGGCCCAAAACCTTTCACTAACATGTTTGTTGTTAGTAGACTGATAGCTTACAAGTCAAATTCACAATCAGAATCTAGCGATCGCAGAAAATAAAATAAAATAACTGTTGTATTATATAGCCTTGTATGCAAGGACAACGTAAGCCCCTAGTGATTGTGACGTTGTCGACGGATAAGCCCGTATAAAGGCTAGACATGTTTAATAAGGAAACTAACTGCGCAAAGTCGTGCACTTTTTATCTAGACGTCTGACAAATTGTTCGAATCTCCGCTCTCAAATGCAAACAAGTTGCACAGAAGGACCATATGTCAGCATCAGCTCAAATGAATGGTAACCACGCTTTAGAACAAAGTGTTCTCCGCCATGCATTGTTCTTAGCAGCTCTGTGTCTTCGAGGACGGTGCTGTCTGTGGTCAGGGCAGAGTAACGCAACTCTCACATACGCCGCAGTATTTGAGAAAGCTGCCTGCTCCGCCCACACACACAGAGTGAAACTCTCCCGACACAAGAAAAAAAAAAAACAGAGCTGATAACATCTGGCTGATATGGCAATAATTAAAATTTTACAATTGAAATGATTTTTAACTATTACAAAATAATTTAAGCGTAATTCGCTTTCTCTTTCAAAAGCGCTCACGTTTTCTTTTAAAGCAACATTTCATAGCAAACCAGTTAAATAGGTCTTTTGAAAGATCAGAATTTAAGCCTTACCGTTTTCTCCCAAAACTTCTGGCTGGGGTCCTGCACAAGGCAGCATGGGTCGCCTGTTTCACAGCAACAATAACACTGGGCTGCCCGCAGACCTGCCTGTCTGTAAATCAGCGAACTACACTCGGATATCGGCCGATGCATTAAAAAAATGCCAAATATCGGCTGGCCGATATATCAGTCGACCTCTCGTTGAAACACTTGGAATTGGAACATTTCCCACATGCAAACACAATGACAGCGTTGGTTTGTTGTTTGAGGAAAAAATGCTGACTTTCTCAAATTTCACTTTACCAATCATAGTGTATATAGGTGGAAAATCGAAAGAGATAAGCATTCAGCATTAGACTAAAATTGTCTTATGTCTACTTATCCAGTGGATGATAAACTAAACAGTGCTTTACTATTTCAGTTTCTTTCAGATGTTGTATAGTAACACACAAAAATGAATATATAAAATCATGTAACTTCAACAAATTATGACATATCTGAGTGTGTGGAGTTTAAGTCAAGGGAGGTGATGTTACACGTATATAATTCCTTGGTAAGACCCCACCTAGAATACTGTGTGCAGGTTTGGTCACCATACCTCAAGAAGGACATTGCTGCCTTAGAAAAGGTGCAACGGAGGGCTACGAGAATGATTCCTGGTCTTAGAGGAATGTCTTATGAGGAGAGGTTAGCAAAACTGAATCTGTTTAGCCTTGAGCAAAGGAGACTAAAGGGGGATATGATTCAGGTCTATAAGATTCTAACGGGTCTGGATGCTATTCAGCCAAATGACTATTTTAATATTAGTCTAAATACTAGAACTCGTTGGCCATAAGTGGAAATTAGCGGGAGAACATTTTAAAACAAATTTGAGGAAGCACTTCTTTACACAGCGTGTAGTTAGAGTATGGGATAGTCTTCCTGCTAGTGTAGTGGAAGCTAAAACCATGGGTTCCTTTAAATCAGAGCTAGATAAGATTTTAACAACTCTGAGCTATTAGTTAAGTTCTCCCCAAACGAGCTTGATGGGCCGAATGGCCTCCTCTCGTTTGTAAATTTCTTATGTTCACAGAATGTCCTGAAAACAAAACCATAAAGTGTATGTGCCTAACTCATGTACATACAATATAATAAGCCTAAAATCAAAGGGGTAGAAAAACTCAAAAACGGATAGGGTTCGAAGCGTTAAAGGTTGCACAAAACGCCTTAAGTTTTAGTGCCGTAATTGTCTTTCAATTAAGTAAATCCCTTAAGATTTTTCGTTAACTAAGGAAAACTTTTAAGGGATTCTCTGCAACACCTTTAAATAAATCCCTCAGCTAAGGAGAAATTAAGCCTTAAGTGTCATACTTAAGGGGAAAACTTTAGGTGTTTCGTACAACCAGCCTTGTGATTTTAAAGAAATTCGAATCTGTATTCATAATATCAGATATTTACCCTATAAAGTTTTAAGGATCTAGGATCTATCCAGTTGTCAATGGTAGGTCGTTTATTTTTAGCAATACAATTATCATTAGCTGTTGCTTGTGTAGACCTATAATCTGTGTAGACTTTACTTGACACATAGCAAATGGACTGCTAGTGAAGTGCAAAGTTATCAACTTTACTTTAGCTCACATAAGTTAACATTTTATGTCTGTCATTTGCTTCATTTTGCTCCAAAAACAAATCACTTGAATATGACATACTCGTAATTCTGACCTCACAAGTAGGAAGCGGTACCTTCTAGCACATGAATGTAGTATAAAAATATTTTAAGAGAACAGAGACCTGGATTTTAATTTTT